AAATACTACACCATTTTATATAAATGACTTAAGATTTGAATATGGTGGGAGTCCTGAAATTAACTGATAGCTGAAAGAGGATGGCATTAGATAATTTGCCCATATTTTCCAATTGTTAGTATTTCCAGAGGAGAAAATACTTTTCTCCAGGGTTCTGCTACTCCAGAGAACTCTAGCCACTATTATATTTTATTTACATGTCATTAAATCTGCATATGTAAGCTATCTATATATTTAGCAATGAACCTTAATGTCTACAGCTTCACCATGCAAGACCTTCCATAATATCAATAAGTAGTTTCAGAGCAACTACAGTTAATATTTATAGCTGCCAGTGAATATAACTAAACCCATACCCATGAGACTTCCTTATAGCTTATTCTCCATGTCAACAAGGTTTGAATTATTCACAAAGAATTTAATATAGTCATCAATTTAGAGATTTCATTGTGTATTGCTTCCTTTAGATCTTTTGCAAACTTATTATTTTATAAAATACGTCCCACCTCACCATGTCCCTAAAAATTCATGCTTTTGAAATGTCAAAACAATTTTCTTAACATCCTTTATCCGTTGTCTCCTGTTTCTTTCTTTTTTAAATATTTAGGGTAGGTTATTTGGAGTCTCCTATTTTTAAGGCATTATCTATTGAGAGGAAAAGGAGTCAAGGTCCTAAAGTGTATCTATTTCCTTAAAAACAGTGCTCAAGTCTAGGTGTGGTGGTCCAAACCTGTAATCTCAGCACTTGGGAGGTGGAGGCAGGGAGATGAGGAATTCAAGGAATTCAACTACTTGGTGAATGGGAAGCCAGCCTGGGCTACATGAAATTCTGTCTCAAAGACAAAAGAAAGGAATGATGAGGGATTTTGGCTCCATAGTCTTACAAGCATAGGAACCTGATGAAGCCCAGAGTGCATGTAAAAATGTCAAGCATGTGCTGTGTGGCAGTTACCTCCAAAGTGAAACTTTCCCTGGGGGGGGGGGGGGGAGGCTCATGAGACTCCTGGGGTAGACAAAAGGTCATGGAGATTCTTCTCATCTCCTGCCCCCCTCAAAAGTATGGGAATGAGTAAACAGTTGCTGGAGAGGGAGCCCTGAACAGCTGAAAGGCAGGGAGGAGCTCTTTTTCCACTGTGCAGTTGTTTAGAAAGCTCCAGGGATGCAGCTTTGTGGGTCATCACCTGTTTGGGAGTGGACTTTTCAGTGACACAGCTGCTTTTGAGACATCTGTGCTCTTTGTAAGTAAACCCTCACCCGTGTTCTGTTAGTAACCCCATTACAAACCCGTTGGCTTACTGAGTTAGACTTTGGAGCAGTCATTATTTTGGTCTGTAATGCATTCCCTTGCTGGATAACCAGGTGTGTGTGTGTGTGTGTGTGTGTGTGTGTGTGTGTGTGTGTGTGTGTGTGTGTGTGTGTGTGTTGCATCTCTCCAGTGAAAGTCTGCCACATGACAACATGATGGCATGTGCTTATAATCCCAGTCCTTGAGAGACAGAGACAGGAGGATCCCTAGGGCTCACTGGCCAGCCAGTTGAAATTAATTGGTGAGATCCAGACAAATGAGAAACCCTGTCTCAAAAGAGAGAGGGCACATTCCTGAGAATGGCACCCAGGCCTCCACACACATGATTTGCGTACCTCTGTACACACATACATACACACACAAACTGTAACAACAACAACAACAACAACAAAACCAGTGTTCAGACAGGCCTGCCTCATGCTTGCAACCCCAGCACATGAAAAGCTAAGATACTATGTCTATAACTTCAAGGTAATCCCGAGCTATTAGGGAATTCCAGAAGTGGTCATGACATCTTTTCAAAAGCTTTTTGAAGTTATTTTAAATTATAGCTGCCAAATGCTTTAGCTGTGTTCCATTTAATAAATCCCATGGATTAGAAAAGAATTATAAAGCTATCACAATTCTTCCATTGCCTCTTTGAGTTCAGATATTCTCAACTAGCTTTTCTAACATAACAGTCAAACTTCCCAATTCTTGAGTGACCTCCATTGTTACATGGACAAAAACATTTAATTTTTTTTTTGAGAAGGGATCTCACTATGCAACCCTGGCTAGCCTGAAACTCATTATGTAGACCTGGCTGAACTCAAATGCCCTGCCTCTGCCTCCCAAGAGTTGGGATTAAAGACTTGCACCACCACACCAGCCCCTAATTATGAATAGTTTTTAAATAAACATGGAAGCATAGAGAGTAAAGTGAAGTTCAAAGTATCTATGACTCATTTTTAGTAATTACATTCTGCCAATCTAATCACCATTATTTCTCTTGGCAGAACTGGGCGCTGAACCCAGGGTCTTATACACATTAGTTACCTAGGCCCATAGCCTATGGAACGAACAGCACCACCCACATCTAGAGACATGCCTTGCCCCCTTAATCTTCTCTGGAAATGCTTACACACACACACACACACACACACACACACACACACACACACACACGTGCAAGCCTATACGCTTTACTAATTACCTAGATGCTTCTCAATCTAGTCAAGTTAACAATCCAGTTTAATTGCCAAGGTATGAGTGTGAATGTGGATCTTAAGCAAACAGAATGAGAAAAACAAATACGAAACAAGCAATTTTGTTCCTTAAAATAAGAACAAAACCCAGTTCTGAGCAAACAGTGGTCTCAGTCCTTTCAGTTGAATGCTAAACCTAACTTGTAGAAAGTGGAAAAGTTTGACATCAAAACTGGAGAAAACAGATCCTTGAAGAAAAAGAAATTTTTTCTTCCATAATCTCCAGCATGAGTGTGTGGAAAGATCATAAACTAAGGATTTCCTCTCAAGAGCAAACTTCGACATTGAGAGTTTTGGTTTTAGGATTGCTTTTGTAAACCTGTGTGTTTGTTAACTTTCAGCACTTTCTAATGGTTTCTCACCCATACTACCTGGCTGAGAGATCAGCAGTAGACAATGTGCCCTAAGTCTGTTTTTCATCTTCCCACTGGTGTGGAAATTCCACTGTTAGCAAGCTTACCACTGCCGGCCTGGGTGACGTAGTGCTTTCACTTGCTGCAAAGTGAACCATCTCTAATCTTCAAAGGAGGCCTTAACTGCTGCACTCTTTATGAGATTGCATGCTTTTGCAGCTACTTGTGTTTATTTTCATTTCTAATATAGCATTTAACTAACCATAATCACACAGAGTGAAAAACAAGAAGCAACACTCAGGGCTTTTGAAGGAATGAATACAGTGTGATTGGCTGTGAAATTGATCATCTGTGTCCCCTGAAAAAAATAGTGTGCTACCATTAAAGAAGAGAAAGAAAGTTATAGACTGAGCAACAAATAGATGAAAATTGAATTTACTAGCCCTATTTCATTCAACACAAATGTAAGTAGATATTTGGCATGATAACCCAATACCTAATTCAAATAAAAAAAAAACTTTCACTGTAATGGAGTACAGTTGGTCCTTCAAGTAAGAAGGTCAAAACAAAAAAAAAAAAAAGGAAAGCAAAAGGAAGAAGAGGAGAAAGGCATTAATGGTAATGCCATTGAGAAGGAATTACTGGAGAAACTGAAACAAAGAAGTCTGGCAACCTGTACAACTTCCCCATTCATGGCTTTTTGCAAGTCTCTGGAGAAACAGAAGGTATAGAGAGTGACTCTTCAATTGCTCAGGGAAAAGAGGCAGAAGATGATGATGTGAACCAAAAAGTTTGTGGAAGAAGGTGAGGTAGGTGAGATACTGGAAAGATTTTTTTTTTAAGATATGAATACATTGGGTGTCTGCAGTGAAGAGGAAAAATAAAATGCCCCTAATACACAACATAGAGGCAAAGCAATCTTAAAAGAACCTCTGCAGAAAAACAAACCCACGTAGAGTCTGTGTAGAACAAAGCCAAAACCACTTGATTTCTCTTCACCTTGTAAACAGCACTGGATGTTTGGAACTTCTTTACCTTAAACACAAATATGCCTCCCCTAAAAGACAAGGCTTGGTAGGACTATAGCCCTCAGATTAAAAATGATAATTTCTTGCAATCTAGGTGTATTACAGTATTTCTTGAACTGTTCGTTGTACTTAATGTAGGTCATTGCCAGGCACCACTCAAATGTATGTGTTTTCAGGAACTTGGGCCCAAGTCACTATTCAATGTTACTTGAACCAAATCTAGTGACAGTACGTTTTGAATAGCTATAAGGCTAGCCTTCAACTTTCAATCCTTCTGCCGTGGCCTCCCCAGTGGTAGGATTACAAGTGTGACCCAACAGCACCAGCTACAAAAGAGCACTTCAAGAGACTCTATTTATTGGTTCTGTAGTCCTAATTAGAGCTGGATTCTACACCCACCTCTGCATCTAAGGTAGCCATTCGAAAGCACCCTTTCTCCTGTATTGGGCCTGATTCCTCACCTGTATTTCTAACATTCATTAGCTCCACAAAGATTTGTCTATTGCATGCCGGCACTACGTGCTAGCAATACAGGGTGGAATAGAAAGAGCCAACATTTACTAAACGCGTAGTTTACACTTGAACTTTTGCTAGGGGAGTTATGTACACTAACTGATAACCTGTGAGGCGCTACTGTGATATTTTCCAAACATAATAAAGGAAGGAACCGAGGCATAGCGAAACTGAAGTCACTTTTCCAGGATATCAAAGGATTTGGCTAAAGATTAGATAGACACTAGGCTATGTGGCTTCAAATCCCACCACTCCAGCAACCAGAGCCAGTTCTTTCTGTCCAAAACGATTACTATTTCAATGACTTGCATTTTGATTCCAGGCCAGAAATCCTGGGAGAAACACCCTCTTGTCACCACAAGAGTATCAACACACTACAATAGGTTAGAGAAAAGATCCAGAAATCTACAACGGACAGACAACTTGCTTTCCCATTCTGGCAGTTTCCACGCCCAGTATAGGCGGACAAGGAGGAGCGTGTGGGCGGGTCTAGCATACGCACGCCCCTCGGAGCATCTCATTGGGTACAGTTGAGCGTGAGGGTTACGTCAGGTCTGAACTCAGCGCGGGGCGGGCCCTTTCAGCGTCCGGGAGTCCGTTTCCCCGACCCCCATCCCGCCCCCCTTTAGCTTCCTGTATCGCCCGCTCTTTAATGAAACCAACGAGAGGACACCGCCTACGTCTAGAGCAGCCTGGTCAGGAGCGTAACTGAGGGGCCCGTGGACGTGAGAGGAAAGCCGCGTAAGGCTGTGCTTCCCTGCCCTTGAGCCATTCTAGACGCGGTGAGTGCCAAGACCGCTGTCCCCACTCCAAGCGCAACCCGGAGCGGCTGCTCCCCTCCCTCCTTTGGGGAAGGCCTGGGCCCTAGCCCATTCCCAGCATGCTCCACTCGGGACGCCCTGGCAGGTGCTGCGGGAGGACCCAGCGGGAATGGTGAAGAGCAAGCAGCCTTCCTAGAGGCGCGCCCTTGGCCCCTCAATGGGATCTTGAAATACTCAAGCCCATCTCTGTACTCAGTCTCCATTTTGATCTCCATCCACTTTCTCCTTGAAAAAAAAAAAAGTTCGTCTCAAAAACAAAGTTTCTGCCTTCACTGTGTGAAGTTTTAAGTTCCCTTCTACTCTGTAGAAAATACCCTATCCTGTGGATCGCTGATGTTACATTTTTTTATTCCTCGACGGAGGAAAAAAAATGTTAGGATAATTTGTGCAAATAATTTTGTGTAAAATTTGTAGACGTTTTGAGTTTTAATAGTAGTTTTGCTGCCAGGAGGAGTAGCCCTGCCAGGAAAAATTCTGACACAAAATCAGGTGAAGGGATTTGTTTGGATTGTTGTGTATTGGCCAGAAGTAATGATTGTGTGATAAGAACTGCAATTATAACAATTTAATATTAAGATGCACCCGGCAACACTGTTTTGAGGCATAGCTTTTCGGTTGTTTCCCCTTTCCTGTGGGAATTGTTTATTGATCAAGTGCTCTGGATTACACGGGAAAAGTACCATCTTGCCTCTCCCCACCCACTTCCCCAAACACACTCAGAAATTGCACCTTCCCATCACACAGCTGCCTTTGTGGTGGAAGTCAAAGTTCATTTCCTGTTTAAGAAAACAGCAGGAGCCAGACGTGGTGCCACACTGACACCAGCACATGGGCAAATAAAGTGGGAGGATCACAAGTTCAAGACCAGCTCAAGTTGCATAGTGAGAGGGTCTTCTCAAAAAAGAAAAGAAGAAAGAAACCTATCAATGTAGTATCCTTGTAGCATTGTAGAGAAATTTGGTGTAAGCATCAATTATGCTTAGTAGATCCACATTTCTCATTTATAGGTCACTTCTACCACTGATAGCCTTTGTGACTTTGGGTCAATTACTTAGCCTTTATTGTTCTCCATTTCCCTATTTAAAAGAAATACATGTGTGGCATGAGATGGGGGGGGGGCATGAGATGGGGGAGGCGGGTCACAGAGTTGGGATTTAGGGCCAGATAAAGACAGACTTCAAATAACCTGCTCTATCATTTCCCCCACCTTTTATTCTTCCTGAACCAGGAATATACTGAAGGCCTGCAGGCCCCTGTGATCTCCTATCTCCAACCCACAGTGCTGGGGTTACAGATAGCTTCCTGCCTTGCCCAGCTTTTTATATGGGCGCTGGGACTGCAACCCAGGTCCCCATGCTTGCATAGCAAGCTTTTATCTACTGAGTCATCTCCCCAACCCCATGTATTTACAAAAAATGACACATAACTGTACATATTTTTAAATGAGAGAAATGACATTAGATAACTTCTAAGGTCCTTTTCAACCTTAAGAGACAAGTGGAAATCTAAGGAGCACAGTAGAACTTTGTGGAGTTGCAGGGGAAATTGGGAAACTTTCAGCCTTTACTAGCAAAAATGTAAACCATAATATTTTTCAGCTGTTTTATTTACATTGACATTTCTTTACGTTTCTACTTGAAATTAAAAATGTAGGACCCCCCTGTTTACTTCCCCAAAGAAGAAAATAACATTTGAGGAGATAAAAATATTCATTGATGTCCCCCAAATATACCTATATTGACTTCTTTCTCCAAACAACTTTCCATTGTGGGCTTTTTATTATGTCAGTAGTTGGTATACTGTATTGTAAGACATTTAATCTTAGGGGCAGAATGATAATTAATAACATGATATTAACCACAAGGAACATGATATAGATTGCTTAAAACGCCTTAGGACATTAGCCACCAAAGTTAAGTAAAGCACTAGGTTGAAAAGAGAAATTTGAGACTGGTAGTGGTGGTGGCATACACTTTTAATTCTAGCATTTCACTAAGGAAGCAGAGACAGGGGGATCTCTGAGTTCAAGGCCATCATGATCTCCAGAGCAAGTTCCAGGACAGCCAGGGCTACACAGAAGAAATCCTGTCTTGAAAAAAGAAAGAAAAGAGAAATTTGAGTTTAAATTGAGTATCTGTTCAACTTAAAGTCTTGATCTAAAATGCTTTTGTAATGGCCAGAGGTACTTAAAAACATAGTACAAGTTTCTCATACAAAATTTTTAGAGAATGATGGAAAAACAATGTCTATAACATTGGTTTCTAGGCTAAGGCTTTGATTTGCCTCTTGGTTAAATAAATGCTGATATGCAAAAATTGCCCCCCCTCAACTGCAAATTCTGTTCCATGAAGGAGTTTCCTCACCTGATTTCAAGCATGTGGACCTACTTTTAAACATTAAGGGCAAATTGTAAGTATATAAGAAATAACCAAGTGAAATTATTAGTCTGTTTGAAAAGTCTTTTTCTTTACAGGAAAAATGCTTTCAGAAAGCAGTTCATTTTTGAAGGGTGTGATGCTTGGAAGCATCTTCTGTGCCTTGATCACTATGCTAGGCCACATTAGGATTGGTCACGGAAACAGAACACACCATCATGAGCATCACCACCTGCAAGCTCCTAACAAAGAAGATATCTTGAAAATCTCAGAGGCTGAACGCATGGAGCTTAGTAAGAGCTTCCAGGTATACTGTATTGTTCTTGTAAAACCCAAAGATGTGAGTCTTTGGGCTGCAGTAAAGGAGACTTGGACCAAACACTGTGACAAAGCAGAGTTCTTCAGTTCTGAAAATGTTAAAGTGTTTGAGTCAATTAATGTGGACACAAATGACATGTGGTTGATGATGAGGAAGGCTTACAAATATGCTTTTGATAAATACAGAGACCAGTACAACTGGTTCTTCCTTGCACGCCCCACTACTTTTGCTGTTATTGAAAATCTAAAATATTTTTTGTTAAAAAAGGATCCATCACAACCTTTCTATCTAGGACACGCTGTAAAATCTGGAGACCTTGAATATGTGAGTGTGGATGGAGGAATTGTCTTAAGCATAGAATCAATGAAAAGACTCAACAGCCTTCTCAATGTTCCTGAAAAGTGTCCTGAACAAGGAGGGATGATTTGGAAGATATCTGAAGATAAGCAGCTAGCAGTCTGCCTGAAATATGCTGGAGTATTTGCAGAAAATGCAGAAGATGCCAATGGAAAAGATGTATTTAATACCAAATCTGTTGGGCTTTTCATTAAAGAGGCAATGACTAACCACCCAAACCAGGTAGTTGAAGGATGCTGTTCTGATACGGCTGTTACTTTTAATGGATTGACTCCTAATCAGATGCATGTGATGATGTATGGGGTGTACCGGCTTAGGGCATTTGGACATATTTTCAATGATGCATTGGTTTTCTTACCTCCAAATGGTTCTGAGAATGACTGACAAAAAGCAAGAGCATGCATTTGGTAACCACATTAAGACATGTTATCATGGTTTCTAATTGATAATGTATCTAACACAGTAGTGTGTTTCTTTTTCTTAATCTGGTTACGCTGGTATAATCACACATTGAAGTCTACTTGTACGTTTTCAAATGGAATGGTATTTTTCCCTTAAATCACATGTAAGAAATTTTAATGTGTTAGAAATAAATGTTTTAAGAATAGCAATTTTGCAAATACATATTTATAAATATTATATTTATGTGATGAAGACTAAGTTGTAGACATTAAAATCTGTGATGTATTAGTTTTAAATTTTTAATGTATCTTTTTATCTTTCTAATATATGAAAATGAGATCTCTAGTGAATGTGTTTAAAATGATACTTTTAGCCCTGTGTTTCCTTTACTTTTCTGTAGGGGTAGGAGCAGGGTCTTACAATGTAGTCCAGGCTGGCCTAGAACTGGCAGTTCTCCTTAGCCTCCTGAGTGCTAGTGTTAATGGTGTGTGCCACTATACCCAGTTGTTTCCTTTACTTCAGATGTAGATTTGCACTCTAAGCCACATCAATGCCAATGGGTTTACTCTCCTAAAATATACAACAAAGCAGTTAAGGAAGTGTTTGTTACCACTGTTAAAGCTTCAATGTTATCCTCAAGAGAATGTGCAAATGTTTACATAGGTTAAGTAATATTCCTCAGAGTTAATTATGTGGCATTCCAGAGTGTTCAGTTTCCATTAACTCTCTACTTTAGCATTCAGATCATGCATTTGGAATGGAGGCTATGAAAATTGTAATGTTGTTTAACTGTTTTCCCCCTTAAGCTCTGAGCTGCAGCTTGGATTAAATATATGACCTGTGATTTATTCATGCCTACTGGACAGTGAGTTCCATGCAGATCTCCTTTGAAAAAAACTTGTTTTTTTCTCATCTGGCTGATTCACTTACCTAAGTTAAATGTGGAGTTTTATTGTTTTATTGTTTGTTTTTGTTACTTGTGCAAATTCTGAAATTTTCCCCAGATTCATGATTGTATCACACCTAACTGGTTTGGCTTTGTTTCCATTTTGGGTGGGTAGGCACTAGCCTCACCATCCATGTTGGATTACCATATTATTTGCTTAATCTCAAGTGAGTACCTAAAATGTCCACCTATTGTGGATACAGTTATTCCTGTCCTCTTAAATGTGTAATATACTTGGATCTGGCCTGTCCTATAATCTGCTCTCTTCAATTCAATTCATAAGCCCCTTTAGGACGTGAAACTATTTTTAGATACAGTATTCCTTGTAATTGGCCTTATGACTCTAATAATCTCCTTCAGCTTTAGCAAAGCAGGATGAATTTCAGACTATTGATCCTCAAGCTAGTGTGTCAAGCCTTTGTTTTAAATGCTGTCTGGCCTTCTTCCTTGGGATTTTCAGTTAAGCTGAAGCATTCTTAATTTCAAAGAATCATAAATGCTATTTAATAAGCACCCTATTATGTGGTTACAGATGCAATTTCTACAGATCAAGTTATGTTCAGTGTGAGTATAATGATTAAAAATTCTGAGTATGACTCATTACCCCTAACACTAATATTTTTACATTTATTTTATTGAGGGGCGGGGTTACACAAGTGCACATGTAGAGGTCAGAGGGCAACTTGTGAGAGTCAGTTCTCTCCTTCCACTATGTGGGTCCTGGAGATCAAACTTGTATTGTCAATGTTCACAATAAGCACCTTTACCCACTAAGCCATCTGTGTGGCTTTATTTAAAATTTTCTATTTTAGGGACCAGAGAGATAGCTCCCTGTTTAAGAGTACTTCCCATCTTCCAGAGGACCCAAGTTAAGTTTCCATTACCCACCCATATTGGGTGGCTGACAACTACCTGTAACTCAGGGATTCACCACCTTCTTTTGACCTCTGCAGACACTTGCACACACATGACAAAAGAAACACATACACACATAAAATGTAACTTTTTTCTATTTTTGTTGTGTCACCTTGCCAGCACCAGTATTTAAATTTTTCATCTTTGGGCTGGAGAGATGGTTCAGCCATTAAATGCTAGGCTCAAAACTAAAAATATAAAATTTTCATCTTTAATTACATTAGCCTATTAAAATACTAAAATTGCCAGGCCCTAGCACTCAGTAGGCAGAGGCAGGGGGATCACTGTGAGTTCAAGGACAGCATGGTCTATGTAGTGAGTTCCAGGACAGCCAAGGCTACATAGAGTGACCTTATCTCAAAAATGAAACAAAAATATTGGAATAAATGTCAGTGACTACACCCTTTTGACTTTCCAGTCAATAGATAACAAGGTAAACATGGGCATTTATATTGCTGGGAGGTGGGTAGCCTTCAGCAGGAGGGCTCCTCCAGCACAGGGCTCAAAGGGAAATCCACAGAGTTAGCTCGTACTAGACTTATCTATCTGAGAGGTTAGGGAAAAAGACACTCAAACTCTCTCTTGATGGTTTCCTTCTTTATTCTCTATTCTATGTTCTTCCTGTGTTCTTTCTACTGTATATTTTTTCTCTATAGCTTATATACCCCAACAAAGTTTTTCAGGCAATATAGGAATTCCAATGTGGTTACATTCTATTTTTCAAGTGATTGACTACAACGAATACAAAACAAACAGTAAAAATAGCATGATTAAACATTTTACATATTAAAGGTGAAAAACAAGTTATCCAAGAACCCACGCACATTCATAACCAAGCAACTTGTTATAAATTAACTGTGTGGGCAAGCAAGCTATTCTCAGTCAGGTCTTTTACTGGCAGGCTACATTTTGCAGTTACAAAGAAAGGACCAATTACTTTATTACTTCTCTTGAAAGGTAATCTTATAAGGAATCTTGAATCGCAAACATAAGCTTTTATACATGAAAAACAATCAGTCAGCTGTACTTTAAATCTTTAGGGTACATACCCACTCATCAATAGTTTTCTTTATATCAGGAGATTGAGAGCAAACATGAATATAAGGAATTAATCATCACCTTTGAACATTAATCAACCGTAGCAAGGAAAGTATGTCAGCTAGTAATAATTGGAGTGCTTTGTATTTTTTACCTTAACCTAATGAATCTATAACTCAGCAATATGTCCTTGTGAACTTTAAATTGTTTTCTGCAGTTTTTCATCTCAAAGCTATTATCAAAACATCTGTTATAGCCTGAAGTTACTTAAGGCTTTGTTTCAGCTAATGTTACACACCAAAACCTGTGACTACATCTTTCAGGATTAAGAGAATTAGAGCCAGCCTGGCTCTTGGGGACTCAGTTGTTTTCCTTAATCATTAACCTGAATTTCGATCTATGCCACTCCTTAGGTGAAACTCATAGGACCTAGGTGTGTGACATTTCCTTGTATAATATTTTTATTTGTCAAAATTCTGTATAAGCTAACATTATTATTATCCATCAGACAATACAATTTAGGAAGGAATCATCTTCATGACAATACACAGATAAAAATGCTCAGCAGAACAAGATGTTTCCATGAGATAAACATACTACATTACAGGCAGGGAGGATCTCCTCACACCCATTCACACCATGCCAGATATCAGAGGAAGATGGCAGGGGCAAACATGTAAAGGCATAGCAGAAGCAAAAAACATTCTGGAGCCGGGCTGTGGTGGCGCACGCCTTTAATCCCAGCACTCGGGAGGCAGAGCCAGGCGGATCTCTGTGAGTTCGAGGCCAGCCTGGTCTCCAAAGCGAGTTCCAGGAGAGGCGCAAAGCTACACAGAGAAACCCTGTCTCGAAAAACCAAAAAAAAAAAAAAAAAAAAAAACATTCTGGGATCTGGGGTCTCAGGGCCTTGCCTATCTGAGATTCACCCATCAGGGCTTTTCCTCCTAGTGGGCTGACAACCTGAAGTCAGTTGCCACCTGCTGCTCCTCTGACATGGCCACTGGCACATTTAAAATAAAATTAATGCTTAATTGAGTTTTTATACATGATATTGGATTATAAAATGTCTCCAGTAGTATGTTGCCTCTTAGAAATTATGTATATCCAGGCTTGTAGATAAAAGGTGGCTCACTAACAGAAAGAATTGTAATACTGTGGTTGTAGATACTGACACACTTTTCATAATGTCATTTCACTTTATGTGTGAAAATACACATTTAGTAGCTAAGCTAGCCCTAGCCATACCCTGGAATTAAGATGTGAGTTGAGAAAAAATAGAGGTCCAATGCAAATTGATCACAAATGTGAATATCCTTTACATATGGCTAATGACTAGCATAATAAATACATAGGTTTAAACAGCTATCAGAAATTGAGACATCCAGCCACAGCTAACACATACATGAAAGAAAACTTTTCTTTTTTGGTTTTTCAAGAAAGGGTTTCTTAGTGTAGCCCTGGTTTTCCTGGAACTCACTCTGTAGACCAGGCTGGCCTTGAGCTCATAGAGATCTGCCTGCCTCTGCTTCCTGGATAGAGTGTTGGAATCAAAGGTGTGTGCCACCACCTCCTGGTTTGTAGGTGTCTTCTAAAAGTTGAATTTGTGTTTATTTTTCTGTTTGTCTTAAGTAGACACTGGAACCTAACTTAAGCAGACCCCAGGCCATTTCCTTGCATGAGCTGAATCCTCCTCAAAAATGAAAACATATTTAGAATAAAAAAGAAATTATACTCCTTGGCTTTTTCTTTTTGATGTGGCAAAAAAAGTTATTCTGTATCAAATCTGGCTTATAAAATCAAGAGTTTTTTTGGAGTGAATTTAAATAAACCCATCAAGTTTTATTAAAGCAGATTATACCTACATTAGAAAAATTGCAGAAAGCAGTCTAGTGGTGGGGCATCATTCATTTCTGCTTCCTTTGTTAAGTGTTCTTTAGGTGAAAAATACAGTGCATTTGGTGCATGCATGGGTGGTTACGTGATGCATAGCTTTTTTTGTTTTCTAGTTATTTTAATGGTGTGTGTATATGTGTGGGTATGTGCAAGTAAGATTAGGTGCCTTTGTGTTTATAGAAGTTAGCTTCTTTTTTGTTTTCTAGTTATTTTTAATGGTGTGTATATGTGTGGGTATGTGCAAGTAACAGCAGGTGCCCTTGGAGGCCAGAAGAGGATGTCAGATCCCCTGGAACTGGAGTTCCCAGGCATTTGTGAGCCACCTGATGTGAGTACTGGGAACTGAACTGAGGTCCTGGTTTTCTAAAAGAACAGACTCTGAGTCATCTCTCCAGCCCATTTGGGGAGAGTTAATGTTTTAATCACATTTGTGTGTGTGGATACACAGGCACTTGCCACAGGCACATGTGTGGAGGTCATGTGAGTTCCTGGGATCATGCTCAGGTCCTCAAGCTTGGCAGCAAGCACCTTTAGCCGCTGAGCCATCTCTTCACCAGCATTGTTTGGGGTTTTTTACTGTTGTTTAGTTTTTAAACACAGGCTTTCTTTAGCCCAACCTGACTTCAGATTCAAGGGACTCATTCTGCCCCAAGCTCATAAGTGTTGAAATTACAGACAAGAGCCATCATGCCTGGCTTTTTACAAATATTTTTTGTTGAGAGTTTAAAATAGGGGCTGGAAAGATGGCTCAGCATTGACTGCTCTTCCAGAGGACCCTGGTTCAGAAATTCCCAGCACCCACATGGCAGCTGTCTGTGACTCCCAAGACACCCTCACACAGACATACATGCAGGCAAAATACCAATGCACATTTAAAAAAAAATTATCGGCCGGGCGGTGGTGGCGCACGCTGTAATCCCAGCACTCGGGAGGCAGAGGCAAGCAGATCTCTGTGAGTTCGAGGCTAGCCTGGTCTACAGAGCTAGTCCAGGACAGGCTCCAAAGCTACAGAGAAACCTTGTCTCGAAAAACCAAAAAAAAATTATCAAGAGTCTAAAATAATGGGAATATATCATTGTACCTTGCTCATATTCACCCTCCCAGTACACTTTCTCCTCCCGCCTGCCTGTACTTGCTCCTTCCCTCAAATATAGCCCTTCTGCTTTCATGACACAATCAAAATTCCAGATATGAGAAAAATGTGAAATTTGTCATCCCCCAACCTACTCTGTTGTTGCACCTCCCCCTCCCTTTAGATTCCCTTGACCCACAGTCTCCAGCAGAAATTAGCTTTCTTTTAGCATAGGAACAGTTTTTCAAATTTTTATCTACCTCCCACCCCCCAAATTTTAAAATCGATGTATCAGGGTCTAGTCGCTCAGACTTATCCTCCCAGCTGAAGGGCAGAGGCAGGAAGATCTCAAGTTAGAACCCAGCCTTTAGTAAAATTCTGTCTCAAAAATTAATAATCATGGGCTAGCAAGATGGCCTGATGATATGAGTCCAATTTCTAGGACCCACATGGTAGAAGAGAACTGACTCCCACAAAATGTTTCCTAAACTCTACAGGCAGATTAAAAAAAATAAATATTAAAAATCAGCCAAGTGTGGTGGTACAATACTTTAATCCCAGCACTTAGGAGACAGAGGCAGGCAGATCTTTGTGAGTCTGGGTCCAGCCTCAAGTTCCAGGACAGTCAGGGTTATATAGTGGGACCCTATCTCAAAAAGTAGCAAAACTAGGGGTTGGGGATTTAGCTCAGTGGTAGAGTGCTTGCCCAGCAAGTGCAAAGCCCTGGGTTCGGTCCTCAGCTCTGGGGGAAAAAAAAAAGACAAAATAACAAAAAAGACCAAAAAAAAAAAAAAACCCAAAAGTAGCAAAACTAAAAACAATCACATTCAATATGCATCATCACCAAAAATTAAATGGATGGTGGGAAATGACTTGTTTGGAAAATAAAACATGATGTGTATCTGGGAGTCTTTCATTTTACAAAAACAAACTTTTTTTTTTTTTTTGGTTTTTCAAGACAGGGTTTTTCTGTGTAGTTTTGGTGCCTGTCCTGCATCTTACTCTGCAGACCAGGCTGGCCTTGAACTCACAGAAATCCGCTTGGCTCTGACTCCCAAGTGCTGGGATTAAAGGCATGCGCCACTGCTTCCTGGCACAAAAACAAACTTTTACCTTATATCATTGTGGCATCTTTACAAATTTTTCCTTTTACATACCAAGCATTTTTTGAGCTGAATGCTAGGCCTGGTGCCTCGTGAAATGCAACAAGAACCCAAAGCCATGATTCATTACAGGGATTCAGTCCATTTGTATAAGGTTTGCAGGAGCAGTAAAACAAACCATTGTTTACATTGTATAACACTATCCTCTGTACATGTCATGGCCATTGCCCTCTTGAACTCTTAGCAGCTGGGATTACCCTCAGGAGACTCAGACATGATTTGGTCCATTAATTTTATCATAAGGGGAGGGGCTCATGAGGTCTTACCTATTCCTAAAGATAAGTAGGCAGTTAATAGTTGCTTACTGGGGGCAGCTCACAAGGCTGAGAATATATAGGTAGCTAACAGTTGCTGAGAGTGGGACTCAGGAGTACATACCCTCAAGGAGAGATGGTCAGTTAACAGTTGCTGAAAGAGAGACTTGGGCCTCACCCCTTCCAGAAGATAGGCACGGTTGGGGATTTAGCTCAGTGGTAGAGCACTTGCCTAACAAGTGCAAGGCCCTGGGTTCGATCCTCAGCTCAAAAAAAATAGAGAGATCCAGAAGATAGGCAGTTAACAGTTGCTGAGCATGGGACTCAGGAGCCCCACCAAGGATAAACAGACAGTTAATAGTTGCAGAGAATGGGGCTCAGAAGGACACCCCTGCACTGCCAAGGATAGATAGGCAGTTAAGAGTTGATGAGGGAGAGAATCAGGATTCCCTAACCCTGCCAGAGACTAGGCAGGCAGTAGTTTAACCAGGCATAAATTGTCCATGCTCCTGTAACCCCCATTAAGCTCATTGGCTCGCCATGCTAGACATGGTTGAAATCTTTTCTTTGGTCTGTAGCTTGGTGCTCTATATGAGGTAAATAGGTATTTGTTCATCTCCCTAGGAAAAGCCACACAAAAATTAGAATATGGTGGTCCATTTACCTAAAAGTCCTGGATTTTGAGAGATACTATTTCTTTAAATTCACAAAAAAATCCATATTCTAGGGATTTTTTTTTTAGTGATTCCACACAAGAATAGCCACGCCATCTATGCCATTGCATTTTCACTTTGTCAAAAGTTCTGGCAGAAAGAGCAGGACTTAAAGGTTTGGGTTTTTTTGGTTTGGTTTCATTAATTCTTGGAATAGAACAGGAGAGATGACTCAGTGGCTGCTCTTGCAAAGGACCCAGGTTCAGTTACCAACACCCACATGGGTGGCTCACAACCAGCTCTAACTCCAGTTCCAGGGAACCCAATACCCTCTTTCTGGCCTTTGCATGCACCGGGCACACATATGGTGGTGCATGGACATACATGCAGGCAAAACAGCCATACACATAATTTTTTTTTTAATTCTTGGATCATAATAAGACACATCACCTAGGTACCCTGTGTACTAAATAAATGAGAACTGTCAAAACATGAGTTGAGTACTTCCTGAGGAAGTGGGGACAAGTTGACTGGCCTAACAAACATCTTTGAATACTGGTACTGATCATTTTTCTCCCTGTATTTATCTAAAGTATATGGCAGGAAGCCTTAAGAAATACTGCCTTTTCATGAGCCCATTGCTGTCCATACATTAAACATGAGCACCACATATACAGTTTGAAATTTTCAGTAACCACATTAAAGAGTAAAAAGACATAGGTAAAATTACTTTTCAGTAATATTTTATTTAACCCAATATATCTAAAGTACTGTCATTTCAACAAGTAATCTACAGGAATAATTACACAGTTAACATTCTTCTCTAGTTGAGTCTTTGAAATGCAGTGTGTATTTGATAGTTATAACATATAACAATTCATTTACCACATTTCCAGTGCTCAGTAGCAACATATGGCTAGTGACCACCATACTGCAAAGTAGAGGGCTACACAGTTCCAAAAATGTGCCAGGTAGGTTTAAATATGAATGGGAGAAAACACCCAAAAGTCCTGTTTGGGGTTGTGTCGAATGAAATTAAAACTGGAACCTGACTTTTAGTAGGCTCCAGGCCATCACCTTGCATGAGTTCAATCAAGGACCATCCCCTTCAAAATGAAATCATTGTATTTGAAGCAAAACATCAATTAGACATCTTAACTTTCCCCCTTATATAAATGAACCCAGACTACTCATTAGCTTTAATCATCATTAATATTTTCTCCCAACTACCTTCAAAGTAATTGTTAGGCCTGTGCTTGCACAATGCACACTTCTCTAATTGCCATGCTTTTTTTTTTAAAGACAGTCAGTGCATAGCTTGGGCTAGTCTCAGAGAGATCCTCCACCTCAGCCTCCTGAGTGTTGGAATTGCTCCCACATAACTAGCTACTCCCTTGTATCACTTTTTAAGGATCCAACAAAAGCCTCTAAATGCCATAACCTTTAAATGGCTATAAAGCACCTGGCTTCAAGGCGATTGAGTAGTAGGAACAGCTCAGCTCTCAGAACTGAGCTCAACTTCAAAGGATTTTCCTAGTACATCCTGCTGCTGAAGAGGAAAAGAACATCCCGTCAGCAGCATAAGACTGTGTAAGCACTCCACACACTCCTACAAACCCTACCCACTGTTATCCTACTGTGAAACACAAGATTATCAAGGCACAAAGATGATTCAACTGTGGGCCAGGCTTAACCG